AAAGAAAAAGGAGGTGGTGATGAAGGATGAAACTTTTTTTTTCTTGAAAGTAGAAAGATTCAGAAGTGACGTGATATAGCAGATTCGAGGAACTAAAAAAGAAATCCAATATGGCAGGCAGGTCGTTTTTTAAATTGAGATATAATTCACGTGCCATAAAATTCACTGTTTTTAAGTATATAATTGAGTAGTTTTCAGGATATTCACGATGTTATGCAACCATCACCACGTTTAAATTCCAGAATGTTTTCATCGCCCCCAAAAGAAACCCCATACCCGGTAGCAATCACTCCCCACCCTCTCTGCCCCCAGGCCCCGGCAACCACTAATCTACTTTCCATCTCTATGGATTTGCCTATTTGGGACATTTCATATAAATAAAATGATACGATATTCGTCATTTTATGTCTAAATCCTTTTGCTGAGTGTGATGTTTTCAAGGTTCATCCATGTTACAGCATGTAGCAGAATTTTACTCCTCTTTATGGCTGAATAATATTGCATTTTATGAAAATAACATTTTGTTTATCCATTCACCAGTTGATGGACATCTGGGTTGTTTCCACTTTTTGATTTTTATTTTTCAACACCTATAGCACCTGGTTTTCCTAGGTGGTCTCCCATCCAAGTACTAACAGGCCTGACCCTGCTTAGCTTCCGAGATCAGACGAGATCGGGCACGTTCAGGGTGGCATGGCCGTAGACTCCACTTTTTGGTTTTTGTGAATAATGCTGCTATGAACATTCGGGTACAAGTTTATGTGTAAACGCCTATCTTCAGGTCTGTTTGGCACACGCCTAGAAATGGAATTGCTGGGTTAAGCAGGAACTCTGTGCTTAACTTGTTGAAGGACAGGAATGTCATTCAAGGGCAGCACTGAAGACCAGCGAGAGAAGAAGTCTGTATCAGTTTGCTGGGGCTAACGAAACACCGCAGCCTGGGTGGCTAAAGAACAAATTTATTTCCTCACAGTTCTGGAGGCTGAAAGTCCAAGATCAAGGTGCCAGCAGGTCTGCTTTCTCCTGAGGCCTCTCTCCTTGGCTTGAAGACGGCCACCTTCTCACTGTGTCCCCGCAAGGCCTCTTCTCTGTGTTCGTATGCCCTTGGTGTCTCTTCCTCTTCTCACGAGGGCTCCAGTCCTGTTGGATTTCGACCCCACTCTTTTGATTTCATTTAATCTTAATAACCTCCTAAAAGCTCTATCTTCCAATTCAGCCACGTCGGGGGTTAGGCTTCAATCTATGAGTTTGTGGGGGACACAGTTCAGTCCATAACAGGGTGATAAGGCAAGAGGTGAGTAGGGACCAGAACCAGAGCATCAATGGCCATGGGCACATGTCTGGAGTGGGGGGCATTCTTCACCCACTCGCCCCCAATGTCTCTCGGGAACTGACTCCATGGAGAGTCCCCTTTCTCTCCGTTAGCTTCCAGACAGGACTAAGCACTGAGCACAGCTCAACGGTGCATCTCTCAAGGTTGTCTGGGTAAGAGTGGACTCAGTGGGAATCATTAGAGAGAAGTTGCCTGGGCAGCAAACATGCCTGAGAGGAATGCATGCAAATTAGATACAAATGAGCGGCCTATTTGGCTTCCTTCTTTAGGTCAGCTGACAGGGCTTTTGGAAAGAAGAGTCTAAGCCTGAACAGAGCGGTCCATTAATTCTTGCTTTCGACAAATCTGAGGGCCTGTTGTGCCAGGGACTGTTCCAGGCTCCGGGGCCCTTGCAGGGTTTATGTTCTAGGCCTGCACTGTTGGCTGTTAGGTACATGCAGTGTTCGAACTGAGATATGCTAAAGAATAAAATACACACCAGATTTCAAAGACTCAACATAAAATATCTCATTAATAATTTTTACATTGAATGAATGCTGAAATGATCATATTTTTGATATACTGGATTAAATAAAATATATTTTATTAAAATTAATTCTATCTATTTCTTTTTACTTTTTTTAAAAAATGAGACTCCCAGAAAATTTGAAATCACATATGCGACTCATATTTGTGGCTCACATTCTATTTCTCTTGGACTATGCTGTTCCAGGGGCTCGACCTGGAGACCCTGTCTGATCCAGCTCACTCCAGTGCAATCAGAGGGGACCTTTACCTAGACCACCGTTCACAAGGATTAGGGGGCTTGGAGCAAATGCCTCTAGCTGATGGTGCCTGTTTTAAATGTGTTGCAAGGACAGAAACAGATGGGAAAGGGAGGAAAAGAAAGACAGGAGATCGGCACACAGCTGGGGAGACTGGGGAGGGACACGAAGAGTGCTTGGCTACCTGAGGGCCAACTTCTAACGTGTCCTCTGTGGGAGGCAGAATAACGGTCCCCAAAGATGTGCATGTTCTAATCCCGGGAACCTGTCAATATAATATCTTACATGGCAGAAAGGACTTTGCGCGTGTGATCAGATTAAGGATTCTGAGATGAGGACGTTATCCTGGATTATCCAAGTGGACCCGATGCAATCACAGGTCCTTATAGATGAAAGAGGGAGGCAGGAAAGCCAGAGAAGAAGATGTGACCATGGAGGCAGAGGTCGGAGTGATGCCACTGCTGACTCTAAAGATAGAGAGGGGACCACGAGCCAAGAAACACAGGTGGCCTCTAGGAGCCGGAAAAGGCAAAGAAGTTCCAGAAGGAACGCAGCCCTGCAAAACCTTGATTTTAGCTCAGTGAGACCCGTTTCTGATTTCTGTCCTCCCAAACTATTAAGATAATACGTTCGTGTTGTTCTAAGCACTAAGTTTGCAGGATTGTGTTACAGCAGCAACAAGAAACTAATACGCTCCCTTGCCTGCTGGATATTTGAGTCTCACCCCTCACTAGTTGAGAGGGCCACTTCCTTCTAAGCGGTCGTGGGGAACGCCCTGGATTGGGTCTTCCATCTGCCCTGGAGGTCTGTGGACAAGTCCCTTTTACTCTCTGTAAGGCTGGGGACAAGGAGACTGGGAAAACCGTGTGGACTTCTAGTGGAGAGGAATGGCATATTTGTCTGCACCGGGAGTCAGCATAGATGCCATTACTAAAATTAGGACAAAACAAGTGCCGACGAATTGATTAGTTGTTCAGCAGTCTGAGTCATTTACACAAGCCATCTCATATAATTCTGAGAACGGCCCCATGAGTTAGATAACTGTTATTATCCTGTTTTCAATCTAAGGAAACCAAGGTCAGAGAGGTTTCATAACTTGCCCACAGTCACTAAGACAATAAAATGTGAGCCAAGAGTCAAACCTTGGTTTACAGACCACTGAGAAGCCCTCTTTGCTGAAGGGAGAGATCTGACCAGTGGGAGGGATCCGTAAGTTTCATTCATTCATTGATCTCAGAAATAGTTGGGCCCCTGTGCCTGGCATTCGGGGTATAGTGGTGACCAGCTCAGGCCAGATTTTTGCAGCATGGGAGTCATATTCTATTAAAAGGACACCGACGACTGAGAAGTAAGCCAATTAGGAGAAAACGATGAAGAACATTAAGCGGGTGAGATGAGAGGGAGCAGATGGGACTGAGAGGCAGCTCTTCGAAGCAACACGTGGTTAGGAACCCGAGAGCCTGCTGCCCTCCATCATGCTTCCTCTCTTTTTCCTTGGTAATGCCCTGAGTACAGGCCCCTCTCGTCATCTCAGATCCTCTCACTGCTACCATTCTCTGTGCTGTGTTTTGCTCCACCCGACTCCTACCTGCCTCCATCCTTCTCAAACTGTAACCCCTGTAAACCTTTGACTGAATGCTTCCTCCAATTCTTACCTTATCTAAAGCCAACTCGTTTCCTGAAGATAATTGCCACAATCCTAACTGAAGGTTCTTCATTCCCCCCCATTTGCCAAACAGCTCAGGTTCCAAAGGAAGAGTGAGGTAGTCAAGATACGCTGCGAAAACAAATGAGCCCGAATCCCAGCGGTTCACCCAAACAAAGGGAGAGACTCACTCACGTGCCACGTCCAACCACGGTCGGCGGGGCTCTGCTCCATGTCTTCATTCATGGACCCAAGCTCTTCACTCATGGGGCAGCCTCCGAAGCATTGCCAGTCTCCTGGCAGAGGGAAAAGACACACGGACAGCCATGAGCTGGCTCTTGAAGCTTCCATTCAGAAGAGCTGTGCGTCACTTGTGTTCACATTTCATTGGCTAAAGCGAGTAATATGGCCAAGCCCTCTATCAATCAGGGTATCTTTCAGGACAGACAGCAAATAGTGTGAACGACGCTACAATCTGCCATCCTTGGCACCCCAATGCTGTCTCCAGACATTATTATTCCTTCTCCATACTCATATGTTTTTTAGAAATTCTGCTTCCCATGGACACACCCCTAGAATAACATGTAGACCCTTTTCTTCTAGCTCATCACAGTCGCCCCCTATATCAGATCCTTTAGTGTTCCAGAGCTTCTAAACCTGTCACTTTTCTTGGTCCCACAAAAGCTACCCTCTTCCAAGCCACCATCATCCCGCGCTTGAACTACTGCTGTAGTCGCCCTCCAGATCTTGCTCGACAATTAATTCAGGACTCACTCAACAACCAGAGTAATCAAGTCACACTACTAAATCCTTCTGTAGTTTCCCACTGGCCTTCAGGGAGGGTCTAAAATCCTCACCCTTCCCGAGAATATGCTTTCCCAGTAGGCGTCTGTTTGCTGCCTCCCGCCCTACAGTCGTCCCCTTCACGCCACAGCCCAGTCACTGGGCTTCATCGGTGGCAGTGAACTGACATTCACTTCAGGGCTTTCGCAGCAGGGTCTGTTTGCCGGCAATTCCCTCTCCCCGCCCCCTCCGCCCACCTTTTCATCGATCAGGTCTCAACTTCCTCACGGAAGCCCTCAGATTCCGCAGCGCCCCCTACTGCCCCTTCTGGAACGCGCACCATTTCTGTCTGCGCATGCTCAGTGCCTCTCCTGCCCGCCCAGACTTGTAGCTGCCCGAAGGGCAGGGACTGTCCCTTCCCCTGCGACGTGCCCAATACAGTGATCGTGCTCGGTAACTGTTTTTTCCATGAGAGAATATATTTGTCATACCTAAAGACGGGGGAAGGAATAAAGGTTAATAGGTGTTATGAGCTATGACCGAATTAGCCTCCTGACTTAATCAATTTAGACATTTGCACCACCTCTGAATCGCTTAGTCCTAAACTCATGGAACACCGTGCCCTTCCCACATTTCCCTCTGTTTCCAGACCTCATAAAACGCCTTCCTCCCCCACATCTACTGCAGGAAGTCTAGTTTCATGCCCGATAGGGTGCTGCTTCCCTCTCCGCTCTAACTCCTGCTGCTCTCACCTCTCCCCCAGCCCTCCTTCTCAGCATGGCCCGCAGAGCTTCTAAACCAAGTCGTCTGGAAAAGATGGGAGCGTCACCAAGGCGTTGCCTATCCTCAGAGCCGTTCCTCAACAGAAGGACTTGAATGACACCCTGAAAAAAGAAATATCATCGTGGGTGAGTGAGACACATCCTAGGCCTGGGCTGTTAAGTCTGTCTGCCAAACCCGGCTGTGCTATGGGTGTGACGTGAACAGCTTCAGAAAGGCCCCGTGTCAAATCATAGTTCCTCTCTCTAGGCCCTAGAAGATGGTGTCTGACGTTACGGCACTGGAGACAACGTTCATCTGCTCCGGCCGCTGTGATAAAGTACCACGGACTCAGGGGCTTCAGCAATGATGGAAATTCGTTTTCTCACAGTTCTGGAGGCTAGATAGCCAAGACCAACGTGTGGGCAGGTCTGGCTCCTGGGGTCGCTCTCCACAGCTGGCAGACGGCTGCCTTCTTGCCTCTGTGCACACGCATCCCTGGTGTCTCAGTGTGTGCAAATTTCCTCTTCTTATAAGGACAGTGGTCAGACTGAATTAGGGTCCACCCTAACAACCTCGTTTTAACTTAATCACCTCTTTAAAGGCCCTATTTCCAAGTACAGTCATTTTCGGGTACTGAGGGTTAGGGCTTCAACATATGAATTTGGGGGTGGAGGTAGGGAGAGACTCAATTCAGTCCTTTGGTTTTAATGCATTACCGGTCCTTCAGGGTTCTCTGAATAAGAGCAGTAACTGTTGGATGAATGTGTAAATGAATTTGTTGTCCATGAAAGATAGGGACGAGATGTAATTAATTTTAAAATGAATAGCTACAATTAATTATATGGAGATTAGCTCTCTAATTCAATGAAGGAGAGCAGAGGAGGCTTGGGGGGCCAGATACCTGGGCCATCCCCTCGGTGGTTACACTCTTAAAGGAGAGACAGTATGCCTTAAATGTACCTTGCAGACCAAAAACAAGAAAGCATGAACTCAGAAAAGTGAAGAGATCTGAAGACTCATCACTTGTCCTGGGATTATGTGCATAAAGCCTGAGTGTTAATAGGCCATTTTCATAGAAGAAAAATCCTAGGACTCAAGCAAAGTGAGTAAAGATCAGAGACCTATACATAAAATTCTAGAACCTCAGGACAATTCCTCAGTTGGTACTGTTTTTAACCTCCCTCTCCCCGACCCCAAAAAGACTGTGGGAATCTATGTTTCTCTGACTCTGTAATGAGAAAAAAATTCCCCTGAGAATTCCTAACAATAAATCCATATCCCTATGGGTTTAGAGCCTAAATCTGTACCATCTGTGTAGCCTGAGAGACCTCCAGACAAAATTTTAGAGTGGTCCCAAGTCGGCTAGTCTCACAGGTCCATGGCATAAGCAAACACTAACTCTATCCAGGAAAATGCATTTTAAACCCAGGCTTTAAAGAATTTCCATAGATAAAAATCCCAAGGGACATGAGTTCCACAAACCACAAAAGCAGAAGCAATAACCTTCAGCCTCAAACTCACCAATGGTATTGAAATTATAAGGTACAGAATATAAAATAAATATATTACATTTTAAAAACGTTAAAGATGGAGCTTAAGAAATACATAAGGAAAAACAGACTATCAAGATTGGCAAGGAAGATTTGAACAACAACAAAAAAAAAACCTAGAAATAACATAAGTGAGAAATTTAAAACCCAGTGGACAAATTAAATAGATTTTACCACAACTGAAAGGAAAAGAAACTGGAACATGTACATATTTGAAGAAATTACACAGCATAAGAAAAAAGGCAAAAATTAAGAACAATGGGTTAAGAAATATGGAACAAAGTGGGAAGGTCCGACATACATCTAATTTGTGTTTACAGAAGCAAGATAATAGAAGGGGAGAAGCGCATTTCAAGAGACAATATCTAAGCATTTTTCAGAATTGATGAGCCTCTTCCTCAAATTCAGGAAAGTCTATGAATCTCAAGCAGAATATTTAAAAATAGATCCACATGAGACATATAGTAAACCCTAGCACACACATTAAAGAGAAAATCATTAAAACAGAGCCAGAAATGTTTTCGACAACTTTACTGTGGTATCATTTACATACCATAAAAGTCATCTGTTTTAGTGGTTCAATTATTTTTAGTAAATTCACAGAGTTGGGCAACCATCGCCATGCCACGGTTCTATTTTTAGAAGTGTGACGCAAGCCAGAAGATAGTGGAATGAGCTACTAAAAGAACTGAGAGTGAGAAATGAATAACTGTCATGCTAGAATTGTGTGCCCAGCAAAACTATCTTTCGAGAGCAAAAATAAGATTATCGTATAGACACACCAAAAACTAGAAACTGATTCCCAAGATACCCTCTTCCAAAGAACTTCTAAAGGACGTGCTTCAGGAAGAAGGAAGGTAATCCTGGAATAAAGGTCTGAAACGCAAAAAGAAATGACGAGGGAATAATAAGGAAATCAAAGGGAAGGTCAACACGGATGCGCTCTGTCAAAAATATTGCGACGATGTCGAATTTCGATGTTAAAAAAAGAACTACAATCTCGAACGACTTATAAGTGGAGAGGATTTTGTTAAATACACGTGATAACACTTTTGGGGTAACCACTAAAAGAAGAGAATCTAAGCTTAAGAACACACTCTGAAACTGGGGGTTAGGATTTCAACATATCTTTTGGGGGGACTCGATTCGACCCCTAACAACTAGTAGAAAAATGTAGACTACCTTTTGACTTTGGGGTGAATAAAAATTCTTAAACGTAGAAAACATAAACCATATAGTGAAAATGAGATGGATTTGACTATATTAAAATTAAATATTTCTTCCAAACAAAGATATGATTGAAAAATTAACTAATGAGTGACAAGCTGGGAGAAGATATTTTCAGCTTTGAAAAAAATAGTGATTAATATTTAGAATATACAACAAAATCCCACAAACATTTAAAAATAGGAAACCCAACAGAAAAAAAAAATGGGCAAAGTATAGGCAATTAACATCAAAGGAAATCCAGATGGCTAACAAGTCTGAAAAGACGCTCAGCCTCATTCATAATCAGTTAGGAAATTAAACATGTTAGTTTAAATCCATCAGAGTGGCCAAAATTAGAAGGTCGGAGAGGAACCAATATTAGCGAAGACATGTAGGATTTGTAAGGGACATGCATCTCTGGTCGGTATAATTCAGCAATATGTAGCCTATGATCCAGCAGTCCCAATCTAAGGTATGCAATCCAGGAAAAATGCACAAGTCCAAGGTCGCTGATTAAAGTATTGTTTGCAGTAGGAAAGAATTCAAGGCAATGTTGGTCTTCATTAGTAGGTGAATAATTAAGGACAGTGAATTAGTAAACTGGAGTGCTATGCAGCAATCAGGAGCAATGAACCACATTATTAAAAAACAACATGCAATGCTCTTAAAACAATATTCAACAAAAAAAGTGAAAATAGAAATTTACTTTATACCATGTTTGTAAATTTAAAACATATACATCTACAAAAATGCACATATACAAAAACATATATAATACATAAACATAGTGTGCAGACAGAGCTGCCTCTGCCTTAAAGCTAATCTGCCATCTTGACTCCTAGGTGAGCCCAGACCCTGGCCCCCAACACTGGGTCAGTT